AACCATTAAAATTTTTTTATAAATTTCTTTATATATCACACTTAGCCTAGATCAACATCAGGAGTTATACAGCATAGTAAGAATTTCACTAGAACTCTATCTTACTACAACTAAACTTAGGCTAAACTCGTTAAATTAGTTACTACTGATATCGTGGTACCAAAGTCAGATACGAGGTTCTATGGTTGAGCCTACTTCAGTAACAACCAAACGGTAGATGGAACTCAAAATTAGCATATAAACAAGTGTATCATAATCAATCCGTAAGAAAAACAAACATAGAGTATATTTTTCAAGTGTTCGGTTAAGTATTAAAGAGTACATAAATTAGGAATATAATTTAGACAAACGAAAAGTAGTCTCTTTAACTTAATAACTATCCACAGTCCAACAAAACGTTAGGAGATACGAAATGGGGCTAATACAATATCTATAGAACTTTTCAGTATCCAACTGTTGACAATATTAGCAAAAATCATTGATGTACCTGACTTTAAGTTGTGTGTGCGAGGATTACTATTGCAGTTGCTCCAATAGAAGTGAAGTTTAAACCTGAGATTTAAGTGGTTGGAAAGCAAATGATCTAATCATTAAGCGAACAAATATTCTGTTAACTGAGGTAGAAATGTAAATATAAACATATTCCAACTAAAATAACACAATTAGTCCTGAGAAATACAGAACCTGGTAATTACGCGCACCATAGGTTCAAGTTGCCACAACATATAGTCAAAGCAAGATGAAGTTATCAAAACAAATCCCAGATTAATAAAAGTAGTAACAGTATTAGTGGTAATAGGCAAAAAACAGTAACATTCGACAAAAAGGATATTTAAATTAAAAAGTATGAGTATTTTAAAACAAAGAGTGGATGCGTCGGCGCTATTGTGAACGATTCTGAGCAATGTCATTCAACGTCTCCGATCACTGACCACGGTTACCACGAGACCTTAATTAAACAACCCGAACCTACCAATAGGACTCAGTCTAACAGTCAGTGTCTTCATGAGCTGGTGTCATATTCCGGTTCGGTGATCTCCTAGCTTTTTTCTAACCTGGTCCTACACTAGCAAGCATCACGCGTCAAGGTATATGGTAGGATTAGGCACACGTAGTACATGTCGGAAAATAGTACAATCAATCAAATTCAGGTAAACATTATTTAGATTAGTTGATTACATTTGTTTATTAGTATTTATTATTAATCTGTCTTAGAAAAAAACGATGGTTGAATAGAAAACAAAATTAAAGCTATCTTTATGCCCATACTTATTACTGGATAAATAGTGAATCTGTAACTGAACAAGTAAGCAAGGAAAAACAACTGATAAATGACATCCCAGTATGTGATTAATACAGTCCAATAATTATTTTTACACACAACAACGAATTTACCATTATCCCTCCTGTCCAAAAAAACAATAAATACTATTATTAGTTAATCACAGTAACCGGAAAGAGGACAAAATCTACTCTAATGAATATGAACACACACACACACGTACACATGTACATTAAAACAATTTCAATGATGCATTGCAAAGTTTGCCAAAGTATACATTTTAGTGGTTGTGCAATGATAAACGGATAATACAAAATACCATCACTAAATTCAGATATTTATTCATGTATGCCTTTTATTTGAAATAAATTGTAAATGTTATTTAAATAATTCCATTACGCTTAATGCATAAAATGTTGTCTTCCCTTTAGGCAAAGTTACAGAAAATCTGTGTTGCTCTTCTTAAAATTTACAATTATATGACAAATAAAACTATACACACATACATAAGTTAAACAAGAAGATAGACGATCAAATCAATGTAGGTGGATGAAGGAAGACAAAATACTTATTCACTTTGTTAAACATAAACAACAAAACCAGTAGGAGATTGTGAATTAGTAATTTGATTACAAAACTAACATTAAATACAACGAGTGCTTATATTTTTTGCTGAATTGAACAAGGAAAAAAGAGGAATATTTATTTGAGATTGTAATAAGTAATGTTTCGAGACCTTTTTCTCGGAGAATAAGAACCTGTTCTAATTTATTCAGGGAAAAATGAAGTGTATAAATACTTTAAAGTATTTCGGTATGAAGTCTGATGCATTTACTGTTATCTGGTCGAATAAGAATATGTTATCCAGAACTTCATCTATCATGCCTTTAGAACTAGATGCTTTAGTATGGATTCAACACTTTTGATTTGATTATTTAACTACAGATTGATAGATCGATCTGTTCAGGTCTACCAGGATGTTCACCCATTCCTCCTGGAAAGCGGACATATCTTTTGGTGACATAGAAGGACTGAACTAAACCAAATGTAACTAGAAGATAATTCAAAGGTAGATTAGACGTTAGTTGTTTACCAGATCATATACTCTGGGTCAAATGCTTTTCATATTAAAAAAAGAAAGCTTACGACTTTAAACCTGTCAGAGAGTAGGATTTCACGATTTCTGCTGAAGCGAATTAGTGACTGTTAAAATATAAGAAAGAATGTTAGTTGATAAATGATGCTATCGCAATAATATGTTGAGGTTGAGTAGTGACCGTTACCGAGGCTGTATTGTTGATGAATGATTTGAGATCAAAGACAAGACCACTAGCCGTAAGAGATTTTTCATGTAATAAAATAACATGTTTATAAGCATGACTTCATGCTTGTACTTCGTTGTTATCATCATTTTAACAGATTGTTTAATATGTGTTGCCATCCAGTTTTTGTCTAGTTTGAATAATATTGTGGTGTGTGCTACTGATGTCGACAGATATAAGTACTATGTATCATCAATTGAAAGTGAAATACTTGGCGGCAGAAGGTTAAGAAGATCGAAGGGAAAAGAACAAGAACAGAGAGTGATTGGTGTGGAAAAGAAGAGTCAGTCAATTCCGAGATAACTGAATGACATTTTGCAAATGAGAAATTTACTGTATGGTTCTCAGATTTTACTAAGAGATTTTGTAATTTTGTGTTGAAATACATTTGAGGGTCCCCACTTGAGTTCTCGTTCACTAAAATATTATATATAGTTCGTGCATGCACCCTACCATCCGAATACTGTCTCAGTTTTATTACAACCTATAAGCCAGTCCTACTATCCTTAATCATTTACTTAAAAGCAAAACAGTATTATGTAATGAGCTTGATGTTAATCACTATTTGATGATAATATTCCAATACAAATAGTTAGGTTTTAAAAACTTTTTTAGCAACAATTACTATTCGTTGTACATTTGAATAAATAGTAATGAAGTACATATGTACACACGAAACATTAAAAGAACTGATCAATACAAGATGGTAATGAAAAAAAAGTAATAAAATTCGTGAAATTCAACATTTTACTTAGTAGTAACCGTATGATTCTGAATTGAACTCGATTAAGATAGGATCGTTTATATTATAGGATATTATCGATTGAAGAACCATTAAAAAGTTTAAGGAGCGATAAACAACAATTTTTTTCTACATTACAACTATTCAAAAAATGTGAACCCACTATCAAACACACAGGATCACTAGGTGCACGATTGTATTATAAACACCATTCGTATGATATACTTAAGAGCTCATTATGAAACGCCGACACCTGATGCAGTGAAGCTCAGGTTTACGTACTCAGCTTTGAGTCATGCTGTTTGAATAGGAACTATGGATATTACTCCGTTGTTGATATGTTCGTGCACCAAAACACTATTTCGCAACTCCCACCTCAATATAGTGAACGAAACTACTCATGTATTCACTGTTCTGCTAACCAGAGTATGACGTTCAGTTTCGTAATTAAAGCCTTGCCGATGATGACCCCAGAAGAATTAAAAATGCATATAAGTTAATCGATTACATTATTGGTTTTAATGATTACAATTTATGAAGAGTAACTAATACTAAACATGAAGTACAATGAAAACGCATTGAACTCCCATAAATCAATGTCATGAAAATGTATTAAAAGTTGATTTTACATTCGCCAAAAATAGATAGTGGGTTTTTACTCACAAGTTGTATTTGGGAGCTTCACATACCCAACAGCTGGTCAAACCATACTAGGTGCAGCGCTGTTTAAACCTGAGACCTAATATTTAAGTACAAAGCCATAGTTTCTCAACAAGAGTTCTTACCGTACAAACCTTTATTACTAGAATTTAACGTAGTTGAAAAAGGAGCATGCAACGAACAAAAAATGCATATAACTAGTTAAAAGAAAAAAGAGTTTTAGATCCATATTTTAGTAGATAAAATTGAGCTACCAGTTTCCAACGCTACCACGTAAAGTAGGTAGAATACAGCTTTTAATATTAAACTGAAATCTGGGCGCTTAGTACCTTTACAAGTTATTTTTCACTACACCACTAAATTTGTATGAACACTACGGGATTAATAGTTGACACAAATGAACATAATACTAGCTGTACAAAAGAGAAGTGCCACGTTATTCATAAAGATAAGCGAAAATAGGAGAATTAGTAGAGTCTTGAAATACTTGAGGATTTTTGACAACCTCGACTATATTAAACAACACCATTTCATTTTGATTGACCTCCAATTGAATAAGCTTGACTGTCTTCGATAATTTTGTAAACACCTCTATTTTACTATAGACTACTACATGTAAAAAAATTACCCATAAATGCCATTGTACATCTTCAGAAAATGGTATCATCGAAAATTTTATTCGCTGAAACTTCATTCTTCTTACATGTGTTTGTTGCAATAAACTTAGATTATAAAAACGCGTGTTGTAACTGGTTTTCTTTGATTTCATGTTTATCTAGCCAACAAACGAAAGCTTTGAATCGTACTATGCGTGGTAAATCAGGCGAATTACATAAAATAAGCTGAAATTCGTATAACCAGAATATTTTTTAAAATACTGCTACGCAAATACGTAACGCAAAACAAAAAGGACGGACATGTATGATAGGAAATGTTAGTAGCATTTCATTATGCTCTTCTTAAGATCCAAAACTTCGCAAAATATATTACCTACCTGATTATCTGGCTGACGCCAACCTACGATACGATAAGCATCTAAACCTTTTTGTTGTAAAATTTGAACCCATGAAAGTGAGCGTGTCCCACCACTTGGTAGCCATATTCGGTCTTCAGTGTTAAACTGTAAAACATACGCTTGAGCTGAGGCCACTGGTGATTCTCTACAGTAAAATGATAAAGAACATTTCCACACAAAATAAACCATAAATTTGGAAATAACTTTTTATAAGCCAAGATAGATACCATTGTTGAACTCATAAACATCACGGATAGAATCGAGTGTTTACAACGTTTGATAAGATTACGAATTATAGATAAATAAACATGCTAACTTCTAATAATAGGGGAACTGGAAATTCCTGATAGATCTCATCCGTAATCATCACAGAAAATAACTGGACATGAGCATCTGTATTGTACTAAGAATCGGAGCAATATAGTCAGAAGCGAAATGCTCACTTTTTTACTCTACTTGCCAATCGAAACATCCACTAAGTGAACTATGGTACTTAAATCAAGCCTAAAGTATGGCCTCGATGCACACACAAGATGTATCGAATATAATGCTTGGAAAAACTTCACATCAGGCTAGAAACGGAGATGCTTCGTTGTTTCAGAGCCTCAGTTGACAATCGAATGATTATAATCTTAGATGCATACCAACTAGTGGGGACCCTAGAATACGACTCCACAAATAAGCCAGTTCGTTGAATGAATATGATTAAGTCTACTTAGTATGGAAAGTTCACAAATGAATACAATTAAACCAATGATAGCGAATTCAGTGAAACCAAAATTTTACTTACTTTAACTCCCTGACTGAAGACATTAGATATGCATCTATATTTCTGTACGCTGATATATGGAGACTGGTGACTTCAAAGAAATGAGGCTGTAGTCAGATGACTCAAAAACGTAGAAATCCCTCTTTATTTCTGCTTAATTTTATGACGGAATGTTCCCCTTAATTATCCCTTGTTCGTTCTTATTTCTGCTCCTTCGGTTCCTTGGGTAAAAGTTTAAAATTTCACGTTATTCTAAAATTGATGACACAGGAAAAGGTATTGAATTAAAGAAGATGGTAAGAAGTGCAACAACGAACAAGTTGCTAGGAACAAACCGATCAAATTATAGTAAGAAGCAAAATTGGACGGACTATTTACATGTATAAAGTCTGTCAGACGACCTTGAGATGTAAACCTCCCACCATTATACAAGCGGCTTTAGATATATTAGTTTCAATTTTTAACATCACATCCAGATATGTACAAAGTCAGAATCAGTGATTGCGATTAACAGATCACGGAGTCGTAAATGATTTCAGGAAAATCAATTTTTCATACTTGTTGCAGCCCTGGATCCTAGCATTCCGTGTGAATCGAATAACCAGTCTGAAATCTTCTAAATAGATGATTTACAGTGTTAGTCTTTTAAATGCATATAAGGATACAGATAATGTTTTGTATTAAAGAATTGAAGAACATCAACCATAGACTATGTATGTTGCAAGTAAGTGTCCTACTACTGAGCAGTTTAGCTTGTAGTGCCTGTGAAATGTCACCTAGCAGTTGGATCACTGAATATCTAACAGTTTACCTACATTCGTCAAAGTAATTAACAATCAACGTGCATTATTTAATTGTACATCCTATACTGACCCACGCAACTGTGGTCACAATATACTTCTTGTACCTACTCATACTAATATATTACTGCAATGACGTGTAGCGGTGAATAAATCCCCAAAATAAATAGTTCCGTAAGTTTTCGACATTTGATGATGACTGCGTTAGTTTCGATGGACTCACTTAGCTGAAGGCACTCCATCGAGCATCCGTACCAGATCACGGGCGGATACGTCGTGCTACATATCCCTTTTAACTATTAGCGCAACATTCCTTCGAAATACATATAGCCTTACAAATATATCTTCGAAGTCGTTCATTCCAAGCTTCTTATTTCAGTGAATTGGCACGTCTTGTTTAGAAAGGGTATTACCAGTTAGTGTGTTGTCAAGCTCCGAATACTTGTGTCATCTTTAGTGGTAAGCCCGACATGATCTGGTACACCTATTCGTAAACTGTGGGTATGTTCTTTTTGGAACTTTATATATCAATTTCTAACTTTAATTTTTACATATCGCTATTATTTGGATACAAATTTTTGGATATTTTCTCCTCATTCACTGGTGTACTCTATATATTTCATGACGGAAAAGATCCCAAATTATGTAAGATTAGATCTCTTACGTTACCCTCATTTCAGCTAGTGCCATACTTGCCCGAAAATTTCGCCGCCTGGTTCTGCTACAGAGAAGCTGATTTTCACGGGCATGGAGTTTCACACCCACGTGCACAATTCCTTGCAGTAGTGAAAGCACTGCCACACGAAGTCAACAGGTATGTTTCACCCGAAATGTTTATTGGGGATGTTTCAGAACCTGACGAAACGTTGACAAAGGCTATTCGTCATGTGATCGATCTACATAGGCATCCAACATCACTGAGCTGCAATGGAACTTAGCAAAAGACATGTCAGGGGTCAATAGACCTTTGATGAGGGCCGGTTTAGACTACTCTCCTTGTCCAAGCTTCCCTGTTGGGAGCGGACAGTGTTGGTATCATTACAAAATAACACTGTGGACGAACTGGCTACATCTGCCGACCGGATTCCTGAGATGAACAGAGCTTCCAGAACCAAGGTCTGTTCAATCAAATAAAAACTTCAAACGACAAGAAATGACGTCACAGAACTGTCATAATCTGATACATTATTTTGCTGTTTGAAGGAGTACTTCACGAAAATGATCTGACTTTTGATCACAAGGGACAGATAGCCCTAGTTAGCGCTGGTACCATTATATATATGAATAATCTCCCCTAAATAGCAGAAAATCCTGCAATGTCTAGGGCCCTAAATTCCGCTGGTCCCTGTACACTGGTGTAGACGTCAGCACTGTTCCAGCAAATTCGAACGACTAAATGCGTGAAGCAGTTAACAACTTACATGTGGCAAATCAGAAACCGATCGCCACATATAGTAAGCGGTGTGTTTATCTTAACTTTGGTCAGCACAAACCCGTCCACCAGACCTTTATTGTTGCAGATATTCCTATGCCAACCATTGGTATAGACCTGTTACAACACCATAATCTGCTCATCGACACGAAGTTAGTAGATGGCAATACTGAATTATTTGTTTGTGTAACTTCATTTTCCGGTTGGAGATCATCCCCAGTCACAGTAAGACACACGATCGATCCATAATGCCAACAATTACTCGATAAGTACCCCAAGCAATACCAAACGCAACCAAAATTGCCATGGGTAGCCAGCAATATTGCAAATCAAATCACGGCCACAGGACCACCTGTATTCTCGAAGACGCTCCGAATAGCGTACGAAAATCTGAGGTTGGCTGAAAATGAATTTAATCACATGATAGATTTAGGGATCATTCGGCCATCAAACAGCCCATGGGAACTCTCTTGCGCACGATCTCCAAAGAGGACAGAGATGATTGGCGTCCAACTGATGACAATCGGCGACTAAGTGCAAATCCATTCCTGATCGTCACCCGTCGCCTCACATTCAGGATTTGACAGCGGCCTTGAAAGGTATAACCGTATTTTTGGGAATCGGCTTGGTTGAGGCTTATTACCAAATTCTCATGTCTCCTGACAATATTCCTGAATCCGCTATCATCACCCCGTTTAAAATTCACGAATTTTTGCGCTTGTCTTCCGAGTCAAGAAATGCTACACAAACATTCCAGAGATAAATCGATGGCGTTTCCCGAGGTCTCAACGTCAAACATGTGTATGTTGATGACTGCCTGGTCTCAAGTCCAGACAGAGAATCCGATCTCCAGCATCTGGACCTTGCCTTCGAACGGCTGCAAAAACAAGGCATTACTGTAAACATCCAAAAATGTCAAAGTGTCACCGACTCCTTAGGTTTTCTCGGACATATTTTTATTGCTTATGGCCGATATCAGTTTACATGGACTTGTATATCAATTTTTATTTTCAAGAACGGCTGGAAAATATAAAAAACCGGTGGAGATTACGGTAATGCAAAATTTACACTCTACTTTTTTCTCGTTACTATATTGTACTACATGGCTCCTTATAGTATGGAAAGACGACCAGATGCTGCTGAACGTAACAACCCACCAGAAGAGTGTATATCAACGACGAACTCGTTGAGTTTAGACTTCTTCTCTGCCTCGCCCTAGGATCATCACCACCCCGCCAGGGAGAGAGTAATCTGTATCTGTAAACCAGCCCCTAAAATAAATAGTTCTGTAAGTGTTCGACATTTAATGCTGACCGCATTAGATTTGGTGAGCTGACTTAGATGAATGTTAATAATTTCATTCGAAGTACATAAACCTCTGGATCGAAGCATGTCTAGTAAAATGATATCGTGAATCTAATCAAAGTACAATTCATTTGAAACATTCAACTTACTAGGATCGAAATTACAAAGTTCAGCATTACTTGAAGCCAAATGCACATCAGTATCACAAACTACCGGTGTTTGTTCAGTTTTACCATATTCGGGGCGTTCAGCATTACAAAATACATATGCATTTTATGTGATAGATTTGCTTCAGGACGAACATTTATTAAATTTGTACTTAGCTTCGTGACCTGCATCACGACACCTCAATGAATTGTTATCTGCCTCAACATGAGTATGCATTGGATTGAGATGACGTAGTAATGTCGTGGAATTAATTATAGCCTAACGAGTCATTTCATGAGCTATTCCTCCTTTACAGTATTCGAAATTTGTTCACTTTACATGGTCAGGTAGTAGTTCATTGAGAGTTTATTAAAGAAGTGAAATAGGCCAAAATTTTTAATAAGCTCTAGGCTTCTTATCCGATGAATGTAAGTGAGCGTTAATAATAACATACTCAACATCTTCCTTGGTCATGCTCCAGATTTCGAGCTCTTCATTATAATCTCTAAAAGCTTTAGAATTTGAATGTATGTCCAACTATTCCAACGCATGCTCCATCGCAATGCCAATGAGATAAGCAGGAGTATTTGAATTGGTATATGAACTAGGAATTCCCGAAATAATGTAATTTAGAATCTGTAGAAGTAGGGTAGCACAAATGAACATATTGTATTTAGAATCCGAAATCAGGCGAACACCAAATACAAAATAATCACTGGTTCATAAATACACCACACTCAGACAGGTTGTAATGTAGAAATCTTTCTTTTATCTCATTGGCATCCATAAAAGCGTGTTTGGCTATATATGCTGACTGTACCTATCTTGTCATACCTGTCACCTATGAAGACGTTTTGAGTGGGATATTAATTCAAATACGGTGAAACTATAATTTATGGCTGACCTTTGAGCGGCGCTGCAGTGATATTGATACTGTCCACTAATAAGTAGGACCAAATGAGGGTTATGAACCAGTGTGAGGAATTAGAGTTATGATTTATAGTTGATGGTTAAGTTTAGGAATCAGATTCATTGTTTTCATCACGAACTGGGATAAGCTAATATGCCGAAACGGTATTTAGTCAAACGGATGAATGAATTTAGCTCCAAAATCCGAGACTTATTATCTTATACTTGTTTGGTTATAGTCTCACTTCAAATACCTATAATTTTCACATTGCCGTTGGTATGGAGCCTGTGAGGGATTAGTTGAACATAAACTCAAATCGTGAAGCTTTTGAGGATTATATAGAAAGGTTAGAAACTTGAAGCCTGACCAAGTAAGATGCGAAGGATGACAAAATTGTGGCTCTGAGTAACTACAGCATCAACCGAATCATCTGCAGTATCTATACCAGTGTCTGTTACCGTCTCATAGAAGAATATCCAGATCTGACAGACATGTGGTTTGGCGTCGAGTCGCGTTGGACTATGATCACCACTACAAGACGAGCGCGTACCAGAAAATCAGAAGGCGAAAGGAGATTGTAACCGGATTTATTCGTTGGCGATCTCGTGGTATCGAAAGTATACCAAGATCGTGCCAAGGGAAATACAAGTGGAATCAATGGGCGAACTAGCGAGCGTACAAGGTCACAGTCAACGGAAGAATAATGGAGGAGTAATGGGTGTCTTGAGTACAGTGTGGCGTTTGAATGAACTAATGATACCTTCGTACTTGTTGAATGCTCGATTTCGAATTCCAAATACAATACATTCGTTTGTGCTTGTGTCTTACTTCT